ATAGACCTTCGACACAACGGACTGCTATGGATTTTAGAGAACCATACCAAAATTCGGACCTTCTGAGCGTTTCACTCAAGCGGCAAGTCAGCTTCATGGTTGGATGATGCCGCGCGTCACTAGAAACAGGGTAATATCTGAGGCATTGACTGTGACCAATGGGGTTAAGCAGCTTTGCGTACTCTCCCCGTACCCCATTCAATTTTATGTACTTCTCGTTGTTGACCTTTGTCCACCGCAAAGAGCGGCTGCAGATTGGCATATATTGCCGAAGGCCAGTTTCCAAAACCTATCGTTCGCTGATGGCCGTATACCATGGCGAAATTGTAATATGTAATATGTGATTACTCTGATCTCTCGGAACTAGAACGTTATTAGCATTTACTTAACAGTGACAGCGTTATTTGGAATGATACCAACGAATAATCTATATAGTAAAACTGGCCAGACAATAGTTGCAGGCAAACTGTTCGGATCAGAGACGTTTAACTAAAGTTAAGGTAGATTACACCAGCAAACACAACAAGCACCTGTGTATTTCGATTACAGTCACATTGCAGGTCTGCTGACAAGGGCACTAGACCTCGCAAGTGGCTGAGTAATGAAGAGTCCAGCTGCCTTGCAAGCAGCGCACAGTGCACAAAATAGGTGTTATTCTCCTCACAGATAATGGGAAATAATACATTTTAAGCAGACATTTTCTATATTTTAGCTAGAAAGAAAGCGATTGAAAAAAAGGACTGTTTGAGGGGATCGGTTTTCCGATCTTCCTTTTAGAAAGATGGAAATTCTGGCAGGTGGTTTGTAGCGCACAAGCCGGCTACCTGCGGGAATAATTAATATTCCCCTACGTTCAGTTAACAAGGTGGGTGTGGTTGTGGTCTGTTCAAGAAAATGCTATGAGAAATAAAATCATAGAAAAGGTCAGTTGTAACGCTCTGAAATCGCAGACATATATTTTCTTCAGAACCGAATTCAAAAATTCTTCTGCAGCTAAAGTATTTTGTTTTGCATCATTTAAAAAGTTTTGATGGATTTCTGCTAACTCAAATAGGATAGGTACATGCACAGTGCCCAAGATGTTTTCGCAGGGGGTCAACTTGCGTGCAGAAATTATAAAAACTGAGAAGAGAATGTGCTTTACACTACTGACAAGAATGACATTCCTAGGCTATTGAACTGACTCTTCGCTCAATTAACCAGGTTATGAGATACGCGAAATGGATTTTGCGAAAATTGCACAAGGTAACAGTCGGAAAAAAATGAATTAAGTCAAGTAAAACATATAAAAGCGTTTAAAACCTAAACCACAAAAAAGAAGAAAATAACAACTGCGTTGACAAAAAAGGTTGTCAATCATAGCAGGCCTTACATTATCTTTAG